AGCTCTTATATCTTGAATTAACCCATTTCTATTCATCTATAAGTTTCCACGTGGCCATGGCATACTGGTGTTTTCACATCTTGCTTCTCCAGCTGGCAGTGGCTCCTTCCTCCCCTTTCTCCTCCCACTATCTCCGTTGGATTTTCCCACCTGGCTCCATTCTGCCCTGCCATAGGCCAATGCAGCTTTATTTATCAACCAATCAGAGCAATAGCATAAAGAAAGATATCCCACAGCACACACCTATCCCAGCAGCACTGGAAATGTGGGGACAGGAGGATCCCTGGAGTATTCTGGTCAGCTAGTCTAGCTGAATTTATGAGATCCAGGTTCAGTGAGAAACTCTGAAAAAGTTATAAATTTTCAATAAAGAGCATAAAGGTCAAGTGAAATGTTTGGTCATGAAAACCCATTGATGCCCACAGCAAAAGTCAGGGACCAGTTGTCTGGAGTATGAGGTGACAACAGAGTAAGAGGCCACAGTATCAAGAGACTTTTACACAACAAGGTTTGCTCGAGGCTGTCACCACCATTGGCTTATTGATTCCAGGAACAAAATCCAGGGCTCCCATCCAGGGCATCTTGGGGTCAGTAAGTCCTCTAGTGTCCTGTCTTGCCACGTTTAGGGCAAGGAGACTTAGAAGGATGCTCAGTATCGGGCACTCTCTTCCAGTGACCTGTCTTCCAACAGTCTGCTTCCTTTGGGCAAGATTACAATGAGAGATCTTAAGTAAGACTACAAGAAGTTCTGTATACCTTTGTTCTCTCTCTCTCTCTCTCTCTCTCTCTCTCTCTCTCTCTCTCTTTCTCTCTCTCACCCTCCTCTCTGTTCCTCCTCTAGATTCTGGTTATATAAAACAGAATTTTCCATACTGCTTTACTTAGGAGACTATCAGTGGGACTCCTGGTTCCCAGTGACCAATGACAACTTTGGTCATTTTCTTCTGCTGTTGGGAGCAGACTGAGTAAGTAATCTAACCCAGCAAGGGATTTTGCCTACAAAGGAGGAAGAATCAATTGGAGTGTACTTTTATATGTCCTCTTTATGGAGCTCTAAAAGACAAATAAGTTTATCATGAGGTCACTGGTCGATGCTTCTTCTCTATTGGCCTTTCCTCTCTAACATCTAATTTAACTTGTCTGACTACACTGGTTGTGTGGAAGCAAGTTAATTTCTTTCTTTTTAAGATCTGGTGAGTCTGATTTGTCTGAACCATGAACAGTATATCTGAGAAGAGAATCAATAGTAATTAAAAGGGAGTTACTCATCTAGAAGAGATAGAGAGACATCGATGGATGGTTGGGGTATCCCTCTTGGCTCAGGGTTAGCTTGCCTTGCCCATTCCAAAGTTGCCTTGGCCAGTGGGGACTAAGTTCCTGGCCAACAAGGGCCAGATTTGCAAGGTAACCAGAAATCGTAACCCTGGGAGCAAACAATATAGGCTGGACCTAATATTGTTTGTGTTACATATTTACCGTGTCTTGCCTGATTTGCAGCTGCCTTGGAAGGCAGGGGCCAAGATTCACCCTCTTCATACATGATAAAGATACAATTACCTCTCTCTGATATAGCATGGATTTCCTTCCTGTAAGAATGTGGATAGATCAAGAGGAAACCCAAAAACAAATAGTCACATATCCTGGTGGCTGAAGAGGATTGCAGGATGCAGTTAGTGTATTATGCAAAATAAGTGTCTCAAAACCTGACACCTACACTTTGCAGTCTGATGTTGCCTCTAAATCTGATATGGGATGTCTTGACTTTATCACATGGTGATAGGGACATCTGGAATATAAATTACATGAGTATAATCATTTCTTTCTGAAGAAAAAAAAGGTACCTGAGATGGGTTAGCATGGATGTAGAGGAGTACAAAATGGAGCAAGAGTAACCTGAGTCATATAGTCCTGGAAAGTAAGGGAGATTCCCCAGGGCCAGGCTCAGAAGTACATCCACCAAGGGAAATCGTGGGTAGGAAAGAGCAAAGAATTCCATGGTCTCAATCCATGAGAGAGGAGTCCGTGCCTAATCGTGATGAAGATGAAGAAAGCCTACTGGTAACCAAGAGACAGCAAAAGATGTCACTGGGATTTTAATCTGGGTTCTCATTGGTTCCCCAGTCCTTATGATCTCAACTGAAATAGTTAACTAAGATGAGACACAGAGAGTGGTGGGTAGAAGAAGACCCCCAGAGTTGATTGCACAGTAGGGGTGATAGTGGACAATGACCAAAGAGACCACCACAGAGCAGACTTTCACAGAGCATGAATGGGTTGCAGCCAGAAAGCCGTGTGTCAATCTACATTTTAGGTAGGCTTTTGTTCTATCCCTAGAATCTCTCAAACAAACAGCTTCCCCTAAGGAACAGGTGATTGACAGGTCTATTTGGATTCACTCAGGGGAGAAAAGAAATGGGAAATCTGTTTGGTACCTAAAAACCTCCAGCTACACAGTAATCTTGTGAGCTTCAGGGCAGTTTAGTATGTCATGCTTCTACCCAGGACCAAAATACAACTCAGACCCCATGCTTTTGACCAGAAATCAATGCCCTGCAGCTTCAGTTTCTGTATCTATGACTGTGGATAATAAATGAGGATCCACCCAACGATCTCCAAGCCTGTCAATATCTAGTTAACTACTGAAAAGTACCAGAAATAGGTTAACGAGAAAAAAAATTACAGGCTTCTTAACATGTATATTTTACACACACACACACACACACACACACACACACACACACACACACACACACACAGAATGGGTAGATCTCAAAGAGATGGGTGGTTGTTGTTGCTATTATTATTATTATTATTATTATTATTATTATTAGTCATAGTAGTAGTATTTTATTATTGTATGTGGGGGTGCAGCACCTAAGGAAGTCAGAAGAGGGAGGTGTATCTCTGAAACTAGAGTTACAGGTAGCTATGAGCCACCTGATCTGGGTGCCGAGAACTGAACTTGGGTCCCCTGTAAGAATGGTATGCACGTCTAACCACTGAGCAAAGAGGTGGTTTTGAAGTTTGTAGTATATGGTATATTCAAGAAAGAATAGTATTATATTTTTTATTCCTCCTCCTCCTCCTCTTCCTTTTCTGTTTTATTTGACTTTAGACAGAGCCTCATATAGCCTAGAACAACCTAGAACTTTCTAGGTAGACCAGAAGGGCTTCAAATTTGTGATCCTCCTTCCTTTGCCCCCTGAGTTCTGGGACCACAGGTATGTATCACCACATCTGGAAAAACAATGCATCTTTGGAGAAATTAGGAGACAAAGAAAAATGATACTGAGTATGTGGGCAGAAACTTAGGCCACATGGTAGATACAAGGCTGATATGAACTAAAGTTCCCAGGGCAGAAAAAAAACATGCCTTTAGCCCTCGAAATAGACATTTTGGGGGGGGGGGGACTTACTTCAGTATCTGACCTAACATTTCACTAATCTAGCTTCCACCAATACAAAATCTAAGAAAGTCATCAGACAGGTCCTGAAACCTGCTGTAGCATGTCACCGCAAATCACCCGCCTCCTCTCCCGGTCAGGGTGTTTGCTAGATGCATCGATGCACAGCTGTCTTTGTTCTGTGGCTATGAAGGTTCACCTAACTGCTTGCATGGTGGAATGCGCCATTTGAGGGAACCTGAATCCATGTTCCTGGGCTATGGGTCACTTGAGGCTCAGAATAAACTTCTTAGTCCCTTACAGAAAAAAGCTGTTCTTCATCAACTAGGTCAGGAGGTCTGCTAATATAATGTCCTCTGGTGTTATCTCCAGTAATGAAAGTCGCAAGCCATCTGCGGTGGTTCTCTGACCCCTCTGGTAGAGGTGAAGAGATGTCTTTGTAAATCTATGTCCCACATTCAGGCAAACAGAGTAGGAGCAGAAATGGAGGGAAGGAGGCTGGAGGGTTCTCTAGCATGCTTCTTAACTACCTTTGGCTCATTAGCCCTTCATACGTTGAGGCATTGTGTCCTGTAGACTGCAATTCATTGCGTAATGTGATCAGAAATCCGCTATTCTTTACGTTGAATCATGTTCTCGTAGTAAAAATGTAAAAAAAAAAAAAAAAAAAAAAAAAATGTAATCTCGTGTATTTGGAAGATTTTTTAAATTTTACATGTATGAATGTTTGCTGTGTGAGTGTGTGTGTGTGTGTGTGTGTGTGTGTGTGTGTGTGTGTGCGCCTGGTGCCCGGAAAGGCCAGAAGAAGGCATTGGATCCCCTGGAACTGGAGTTGAGATGATTTTGAGCTGTCACATGGGTGCTGGGCTCTCTAAAAGAGCAGTAACCACCTTTAACTGCTGAGCCATCTCTATAGTCCCCTCCAATTTTTTAACTTAATGAACTGTGAACATTTTTGTGGTATTATTTTGTATTAGTCAAATGCACTTTATTATAATTAATTGAACAATCCCCTATAGGTGGACATTTACATTATTTTCATATTTAATTTCTTAGATAATATGATTAACATGTTTATAAAGATACCTTGAGGGGCAGCTCTGATTCTGTTCTTGGGTTAAATTATTTTGCTTTGTTTTATTTTTGAGACAGGATTACATTATGTAGCCCTGGCTAGCCTGGAACTCACTGTATAGACCAGGCTGACCTCAAACTCAGAACTCACAGAGATCCACCTGCCTTTGCCTCCTGAGTGCTGTAAACAAAGGTGTGCCCCACCACACCTAGGAAAGTTATTTTGTAAATGGAAATGCTAGATTAAAAAAAATGCTTCCATTTAGCATAATGGGCCATGCCAATAATTTCAACACTCAGCTGTCCTAGGTAAGTCACAAATTTTAGGCCAGCTGAGGTATATATTTCAAGCCTGTATGAAATAAGTAAATAAACAGTTTCTGTTCAGTTAAGATTGTTAACTCAGTAAGTGCCATGATGGCTGCTGTAGCTACTGTTTTTAAGGCAAGTGTTTGTGCTAGACCTCTTGGTTACTTTGTATCCCACTCAGACCGCCTAACCACAAAAATCCTGTCTCCACAGCTTTGTGAGAAGGCACTGTCTATCACAATAGTTCCATGGAGGACCCAGAAATAAATGACCCCCCGGGAAGACTCAAAGATGTACAGGTGGGAAACGTTCAAAGAAACAAAGAGCATCGTCCAGTCATCCCTTCACTTACTTACTTAGTAAACATTTTATCAAAGGGCTGGAGAGATGGCTCAGCTGTATAAGGCTAGACTCACAACCAAAAATGATCAAGTATCAAACTTCACAGACTACATTAGACTCTGGAGTAGACAGGGACCAAGGATGAATTTCCCTGCCCGCCTCCGAGGTCAGAGTCTGGCGGAAGTCTTGGGATCCATCTGACTTTTTCAAAAGTATTGAACCACACGTCATGACACAGAGACACCCTGAGAAAATGAAGAGAAATGAGGTTGGTATTGTAAACAAGCTCACGCTGTAGGAAGAAGCCATACACAGCCGGGGCGTGGGAGGGGAGACAGTGTTATAGAGAACGCAGAGACGTGAACACAGTGGGTAAGTGCTGGAGAGGTGAATGATGAGAGGGTGGAGTTAGAGGAGAGGGCGGAGTTAGAGGAGGGGTGGAGTTAGAGGAGGGGCGGAGTTAGAGGAGAGGGCGGAGTTAGAGGAGGGGTGGAGTTAGAGGAGGGGCGGAGTTAGAGGAGAGAGTGGAGTTAGAGGAGAGGGTAGAGTTAGAGGAGGGGCGGAGTTAGAGGAGAGGGCGGAGTTAGAGGAGGGGTGGAGTTAGAGGAGAGGGCAGAGTTAGAAGAGGGGTGGAGTTAGAGGAGAGGGCGGAGTTAGAGGAGAGGGTGGAGTTAGAGGAGAGGGTGGAGTTAGAGGAGAGGGCGGAGTTAGAGGAGAGGGTGGAGTTAGAGGAGAGGGCGGAGTTAGAGGAGGGGTGGAGTTAGAGGAGGGGCGGAGTTAGAGGAGAGGGTGGAGTTAGAGGAGGGGCGGAGTTAGAGGAGAGGGTGGAGTTAGAGGAGGGGCGGAGTTAGAGGAGAGGGCAGAGTTAGAGGAGAGGGCGGAGTTAGAGGAGGGGTGGAGTTAGAGGAGAGGGCGGAGTTAGAGGAGAGGGTGGAGTTAGAGGAGGGGCGGAGTTAGAGGAGAGGGTGGAGTTAGAGGAGGGGCGGAGTTAGAGGAGAGGGTGGAGTTAGAGGAGGGGCGGAGTTAGAGGAGAGGGCAGAGTTAGAGGAGAGGGTGGAGTTAGAGGAGGGGTGGAGTTAGAGGAGAGGGTAGAGTTAGAGGAGAGGGCGGAGTTAGAGGAGGGGTGGAGTTAGAGGAGAGGGCGGAGTTAGAGGAGAGGGCGGAGTTAGAGGAGAGGGTGGAGTTAGAGGAGAGTGAGATCTCACTCCCAGGGATGCTGAGGATGGCTGGATGAACCCGAATCTACATGTTTCAGTGGAGTAGTCTGGAGACAGCAGAGATGAGGCACCCCAGCTGCTACTTCTTGTCCTGAATGGCAGATACCATTAATCAACCACCTCTTGCTGAAGCTGGTTCTTCTTCAACCCCTTGCTCCAGGCAGCCATGGCAATGCGATCAGAGTTTGCACACACGACGAAGCCAATCTGCCATTTCTGGAATAGTCGCTGTCTCTCCTGAGGACAACAGACAAAAATATTCAGCTGGCACCAGGTGAGATGAATTATAGAGTGCAAAGCAAAACTATCTCTGGCACTGAACTTTGTGAGGTCGGGTCTTGGCTTCTCCATGTATCAACTGCAGGATATTGGATCTGGTAGAAGCTATCGGATGTCTCTGGTCCTCGGTGCCTAGGCCTTCAAAAAGTAGGAAAATAGGATTACTAAGAGAGTTGAGTCATGCCCAGTCAATGCAGTCGCATTCCCATGACTAGGGCCAAAATCCCTGACAGAAGCAATATAACAGGGGAAAGACTTATTCCTCACCTTGCTCCATGAACTTGGACAGAAGATCAGGGCAGCAGGACCCCACGGAAGGAGAGGTGGCTCACTCCATGGCAGACAAGAAGAGTGGAAAGACAGCAGGAAATGGATAGGACAAGACACAGCCGGAGGGGCTCCTTCTTGTAGCTAGGCTCCACCGCCTCAATTTCTCACAGCTCTCAAAATAGTGCCACCAACTGGAAGACCAAGCATTCCATATACACACCTGTGAGGGGCATTTCAAATTCAGCCTGGAAAACTAGTCTATCCCTATTTATTTCAGTACTCATAACCTCTTTAACATAATGCTCTATTAATTCTTCTATCGTTTCATACATGTTTTGATCATACTCATTTCCTGTCCCCTCCCCCAACCATCTCCTCTCAGGCCTACCTCCTCTTCCCTAGCCCCTTTCATATTTTCTTTCTTTCTTTTATTTTAAATTTAGAAGAAACTATGTGGCAGCAGATGTCCTGGTCCTCTGGCCCTTACAGTCTTTCTCCCCCCATCTTCCACTGTGTGTAGGGGTTGGTGTTGTGAATGCATTAATTGGAGCTAGGCACCCACATTCGGTTGGTCTCTGCGTTTTGACCAGTCGTGGCTTTCTGTAGTGATCTCTGCTGCAGAAAGAAGCAGGGTAAGAGCCACACTTACCTGTGAGTCTAAGGATCAGTAGTCAGCATGCAGTTTGAAATTACACTGATGTAAGGAAGTTGCAGTAGTAGATTCTCCTCCAGGTCCCATGGCCTCAGCGCCATGGGTAGTATAGGCTGTTTAAAGTGTCAGGCGTGAATTCCTTCCATTAATCAGGCCTTAAATCCAATTAGGCGGCTGTTGGTCACCCCCAGGATGTAAGTGGCACTGTTACACTTTTCAGAATATCGTACCATGTGATCATTGTTGTGGCTCCCCGGCTGGGTAGGGCTATTGGTTGCTTTTCTCTCTTGACGGCTTGCATAACTCCTTCTGCTACTGTGAGAGCTTGTCTTCAGGCAGGAAACTTCCAGGTCCTGTGTCTAAAGTGTCAGCACTCACCATCTTGATTTCTTCATCTTTTTTTTTTTTTTTTTTTCTGACAGTCAACCAACTTCCAAGTGGATCAAGATGAGAAAACAGGTCCAACGGAGCTTGGCCAAGTGTAGGAATGTCACAGCTTTTCTATGCAGATAGGGACAGAGCCTGTGACTCCAGCTGACCTCCAGGGAGAACTACCACTCACTCGAACCATGGCTTCGTAGAAGCAATTCCGAGTCTGTGCGAGCAAAGCAGGGGTGTCTCAGCTGATGTTCGATGCCACCGTGTACTTACGCAGGCCCGAGGACAGCCCGCAGAAGTCACTTCTTCCCTTCCACCTTATGGGGCCTGGAGATCAAACTCGGGTCAGCAGGTCAGCAGCAGGACCCTTTACTGGCTGAGCCATCCAAATGGCCCCTCCTCCTAAGGCATTTTGAAGATTCTCTTGGCTACGCTTCTCCACCTTCCAGAGCACGGTTCATTTAGAGTGGACTTTCTGCACAGGAAGGCAAAGTTGCCAGTCCTAACAACTGGACTGAATTCTTCCTTCTAGAGCCAAGCAGAAATGAACAGTGAGATGCCTGGTCAGTGGCCAAAGAAAACCAATGTTTTCTGGTGATTGCAACAGGACATGGCAGCCTTGGGGATAGTATCAAATCTACACACTCTCCAAAAAGAGGAAAGATAGTATGAGGTTAAAGTCAGGTGGAGAAGTGTAGCCAAGAGAATCTTCAAAATGCCTTAGGAGGGGCCAGTGGGATGGCTCATCTGGTAAAGGGACCTGCTGCTGACCTGAATTTGATCTCCATAATGTGGAAGGGAAGAACTGATTTGCAGGTTGTCCTCGGGCCTGCGTAAGTACACTGTGGCACCTATGCCTACCCCCAATACACACCTATATAGACACATGTAAGAAAGGGAAAAGAATAGTTCATTTTCTTGGTGTTTTGTTTTGTCTCATTGTCTTATTGGGGGGTGCTGTTGATTGAGACAAGGTCTTGCTATGTAGCCCAGGTTAGCTTCGAACTTGCCATCCTAGTGGCTTAGCCTCAGAAATACTTGGGATTACAGTTGTGCCCCATCATGTGGTGATTGTATAAAGTGGGGGTTTCAGCACCTAATGTATCAAGTGAGGGCATAACTGCTCCAAGATATGGCTGAGGGAAAGGTTTTTATTGTAGACATCAGGAAGGGAACAGCCAGGGGCATCTGGAAAAAGGAGAGAAAGTAGTAAACTAAACATGGACAGCAGACTGAACTAGGCCATGAAAAGAGAGATTGGGGGAGAATGGGAGAGGAAGAGAAGAGACAGAGAGCAAAGAGGAGAGATGGCAGAGAGAGAGAGAGAGAGAGAGAGAGAGAGAGAGAGAGAGAGAGAGAGAGAGACACCAAGAGGACCAAGAGAGTGCATGGCCAAAACAGAAGGGTTATGTAGAAATGAGAAGCTGGGGAAGCCCCTGGGCTGGAAAAGTTTAGGGTAGGGAAGGAGGCTCTGAGAGAGGCTGGAGGCCAAGTGTGCACTTGGGTATGCTAATAGGCACCACAGTCAGCCATTTGTCCTGAGTTTCTTTGGTCCCTGACAGTGATAACTGTTCTTACCAGTAAAACTGGAATCTCACATGTGGACATGATGGGTATCTGGGATTATGTTTTCAGCATTATCTGAGTTAGCTATGGATTAGAAAAAAATCAATAGAGATTTCATTAAACTATGATACATATACATAATGGAGTACTGTGTGGCCACAGAAAAAAGCAAAGGTCGCCGGGCGGTGGTGGCGCACGCCTTTAATCCCAGCACTCGGGAGGCAGAGGCAGGCGGATCTCTGTGAGTTCGAGGCCAGCCTGGGCTACCAAGTGAGTTCCAGGAAAGGCGCAAAGCTACACAGAGAAACCCTGTCTCGAAAAACAAAAAAAAAACAAAAAACAAACAAAAAAAAAAAAGCAAAGGTCTTATGTACCTCTTTGAATCATCTCTGAGATGTACTTGTTTGTTTGTTTGTTTTGAAACAGAGTCTCACTATGTAGCCCTGGCTAGCCTGAAAATTGATATGTAGACCAGGTTGACCTCAAACTCACAGAGATCCTCCTACCTCTGAAAGGATGCATGCAAATGGAGCAACACTGGCTGATCCAACAAGGACATCTGGGTGGCTATGGCCAGAAGGTAGAGGGACACTTCTCATCTATATGAGTTTTCTATCATGGGGATGTATTTACCAACTCAAAAATTAAGTATAAAGACTAAAAATCATAATTTTGAGCATGGGCAGCTTGTTGTGGAATATAATGTAAAGAACAAAACAATGTGTTACATTTGTTTATACTGCGGAATATTACTTTAACTGAGTATAAAGGTGCATTAACATTTGTTTGTGCTGCGTTTGTTTAATGATGTAAGGAGGTGTGTTTAACTATGTAAAGATGTGTTGCATTTGTTTAACCTTGCCTGTGTAAGTTACCTGATTGTCTAACAAAGATCTGAACAGCCAATAGCTAAGTGGAGAAAGGATAGGTGTGTGGTGATATATTGTGCACCCCAATAAAGCTTACCTGGGGATCAGAGCCAGCCACTAATTTAGACATAGAGGTCAGGCAGTGGTGACACACATCTTTAATCCCAGAAAGTAATATGGCAGGACACAGAAAGGTGTGTAAGGTGTGAGGAAACAGGAACTCTCTCTCTTGAGGTTGAGGATTTCGTAGAGGTAAGCTAGTGGCTGGTTGTTCTGATCTTTCAGCTCTCACCCCAATATCTGGCTCTGGGTTTTTTATTGTAAGACCTTTTAAGATTCATATTACATAGGTGGGGCTGGCAGGGAGAGAGAAGACAAAGAACGAGGAGTAACAAGAGAAGAGAATGAGTAGAAAGAGGGAAACCCCCAGGGCCAGCCAGACAACCCCCAGTTAACAGACATGAGAAGCAGTGACATAAGATATACAGAAGGAAGAAAGGTTTAAAAGGCCCAAGGTAAAAGGTAGATAAAGAGAAACAGGTTAATTTGTTAAAAAGAGCTAGCCAGAAACAAGCCTAAGCTAAGCCGAGCATTTATAACTAATAAGAAGTCTCTGCGTCATGATTTGGGAGCTGTTTGGTGGCCTAAAAGAAAAAGCCTGGTACAAAAGCTGGCTCCTAATTTGCCTAGATTCCTTCATTTTGACTTCATAGTCACAGTCTCAAGAGCAGTTTCCAGGAAGAGCCATTATTTCCCTCTTTGTTTCCTGTCCTGCTGGCTGCCCTTCTTCATGTCTGAGCCTGGGTGCTTCAGTGAGGGAGGTGGGGAGAGGACAAGAAAAAAAAACACAAAATTTCTGTGTGATTTTCACCATGGCCCCCACGAGTACCCCCACTCTGCTGTCATGGTCTTGTGTGGATCGATTCTTCACTGATTTCAGTTTGCCAGAACCAATGAAAGGCAGTGGAAATGACCCACATCATTTCTGTAAGTTCCAGGAAATCTCTCTGTAGCTTCTTTTTGTCACTCTCCTCTTGCCCTCAACTGCCTTGTCAAGTCCAGGAAGATACAGAGCAAGAGAAGTCCTGTAGTATAAAAGATTGGGGGGAGGGAGGGGAGTGGGAGAGAGGAAAGAGATGAGGGAACAGACCCAGCCAGTCACCAACTGCTGAAGGCAGCCTAGCCAGGAGCAAGCATATGAATGAGGGCTCACTGGATGCAGCATCACCATGTGGAGGCATTCGAGATGAGCTGACACTCCTGAGCCCCATGCAATTACTGAGTTAGAAGCAAATAAATGATTGCCACTCTAAGATATTAAGTGCAGGAGTGACTTCATGTTGGACAGAAATGAACTTGGGAGAGCATATCAAAATTGTTCCCTTGACATACAAACATTATTTCACCGAACATAAAGAAGTCATTGTCCCAATTTCACTTACTAGGAAGCTAAGGCTACAGGAGGCTAAGTATGTGGCCAGGATCATGAAGCTGGCATAGAACTACACTTGGGATTTAAACATGAGGCTGTCACATTCCAAAGGCTGCTTTCAATGGCTCTACAGCCCAGACAAAAGCTCTGAGGTCTCTAAGTGTAGAGAAACGGTTCCAGGAGAGGCAAAACACAGCTCTGTCTCTGGTCACATGTGATGCTCAAGCAGAAATCTATGTGTCACTGACCCTGGCCCTGAGTGACATATGAGGGTTAGCACCAGTGCCCGAGACATTTCCTCCAAATTAGTGAGGTCCCTCAAAACTTAAGCTTTCCAAGTTCTTGAAAATGACCTGAATCTGCATGCTAACCACTGGTGGGTAAAAGGAGAAGGCTAACATAGCTGCAAATCAGTAATGGATAATTGCTGCTCAGGCTCCACTTAAAAACCTCATCTCAGAGAGAGCACCAAGTGACCAGGTCTCTAGCCCACTGGCTTGAGGTCAGTTCAGAGCAAATCATAGGTTCTGAAGGAGATCATGGAATCAGGCTCATAGAAGGCAGCGCATTCTGCTCATGGCTGCCGTCAGAGACCCTCCTGCCACCACAAAAGGACCTCAGTTCTGACTACAAATGTGCCTTATATGGGTGATACCACCAGGACTCCATTACTGTTGCTCCTAAAAGCATCATGCCTTTCTAACACACTGTAACCTGCAAGTAGTGCTTCTCTATTACTTTATACTCCCTGACTTTCATTGGTGGAGTTTAGGTCACATGACAACATCATAGCTGCAAGGGAGGCTAGGCAAGTGAGTTCTGCTTCCTTCTTGGGTCTGTGGGAAGAGACTCATAATGAGGAAGCCCTCCAAATATGGACCTTACATGCTCATTTGGAGCACAACTACTTATATACCCTTTATGGAAAAATTGTCTTAATCTATCAAGGAAGAAGTGTGCAGTGTCAGGAAGAATGCACATGGAGTGGTGAGGGAGGAAGGGGAGGGACACCATCCTCACCAGCAAAATCAGTCAAATCCACCCTCAAAATCAATGGGTTACATGTTACAGCCAGGATGCCCTCACATCCTAAAAATGGGAAGAGCAGAATATTGGTTGTATTATTATTATTTGTTGTTGTTGTTGTTGATATAATAAAGTACCCTGATAAAAAGCAACTTAAAGAAGAAAGAATTTATTCGGTTGACAGTTTTGGAGTGATAGAGCCCATCATGGAAGAAAAAACACGACAATGGGTAGGATGTTCTGGATAGTTTTATG